TGGTTCTCTCCATGAGTCCATGTGTCTGTCTGTGCCTGCATGCATGTCTTTATGTCCAGGTCTGTTTATCTGCTTTCTCTGTGTGTGTGTCCACTGTATTTGAGCTGGCACACTGGCCTGGGCTCCGAACTGAGGCCCTTGGCCAAGAAGGCCACTAGCAGAACGTGAATTGTCCTCAGCCCTTTGAGTCCCCGCCCACTGCCCACAGCACCCCCGTCAACCTCCTGCTCCACCTGTGTGACACATACCTGCTGAGTGAGTAGGCACTGGGGCCAGGCAGAAGGGGCCACCAGGAGGAGCTGGCCGAGCTGGGCCCTCAGAGCCGAGCCCAGGCGAAGGGCCCGCTGGAGCAGCCAGAGGGAGTGACCAACAGCTGGGACTTCCCAGCCGTGGTCAGTACCCCTGGACCCACCCGCCCCACCCCAGCCTCACCCTCCACCTCAACTCCACGTACTTTCACTTTCAAAAATGTTCCCACCCCCTTCCCATTCCAGAGCAATCACTCCAACCTTTGACTCCTGGCAGCCGGAAGCTCAGGCCGAGGATCAGTGACTCAGTGACCGTAGGAGGGGAGGACCAGGAGGACAGCACTGGAGTGCTCAGAGGCTCCAGGCAGTGGGGAGTGAACACTGCTGGGGACTACTCTGACTGCCAGCCCTCCTGTGGTCAGACTGAGGCCAGAGGGAGCAGGCCCCAGTTGGCCAGGGCAGAGCAGGGGGTTGGGGGGGTGGGGAGTGGGGGGATGGGGAGGTGGAGGGTTTGAGGAAGTGAGGGGGTGGGGGGGCACCCAGCCCACAGCGTCTGAGCCCAGAAGGACCCCTCCCTCCTTGGCAGAGATTCTGGCACCAGATGTGGCTGCCAAGCTTGTCCTGAGAGTCCCTGCCTGGCACTGAGAGCCGGCAGAGCAGAAGCATGGGCCTTGGGGGGGTGGTCACAGTGACAGCAAAGGGAACAGATGTTGTAGGCCATTCAGGAGCTAGGAGAAGGGAGGAGCCCTAAAGGACTGATAGGATTTCACTCGGGGTGAGGAAAGAGGGCGTTCTGGGCAGAGGTCAGCCCATGGGCAAGGGTGTGGAGGCGGGGCCTCAGGCAGGTCCCTACTCCTCCACAGTGGGCCAGGTGGGAGGCATTTCGAGGGGAGGGTCACTGAGACTTCCCAGAAGAGCCTGGCCCCACACCTTCATGGGGGGATTCCGCTTCTGGCATCCAAGAGAGAAACTTAGGGAAAATCCAGAGAGGACAGATCCAGGCCTGTCCCAACGGGGCTAGAGCCACCGCGGCGTGGGGCAGAGCAGGGGAGGTGCTCTGGGCAGGGTGCCGAGGAGAGCAGAGACAAGCTTGTGGGTTAGCGTACGAGGGCTGCCGTAAGAGTACCACAGGCGGGGGTCTTAAACAGCAGACATTTATTTTCTCAAAGTTCTGGAGGCTGAAAGTCTTAGACCAAGGTGTTGGCAGGGCTGGTTTCTGCTGAGGCCTTGCTCACTGGCTTGTAGACGGCAGTCTTCTCCCTGTGTCTCCTCACATGGTCGTCCTTCTGTGTGTCTGTGTCCTGCTTTCCAATTCTTATAAGGACACTGGTTCTGTTGGATTAGGACTCACCCTAATGGCCTCTCTTTGGCTTAAGCACCTCTTTAAAGACCTTATTTCCTAATACAATCACCTGCTGAGGTAGTGGGAGTTAGGACTCCAACAGGAGAATTTTTTGAGGACAAAATCCAGCCCATAAAAGATTGGAAGGCACCTGAGATGCTATAGCACCCAACTGCCATCTGCAGACAGCCAAGTCGGACCCAGAGATGCCAGCACCTCCTCCAAGAAGCCCTCTGGTTTACCACTTGAGCCTTCTCCCTGAGCCCTGAGTTCCCCTCTGTGAGGTGGGGTCATAGGAATCCCAGCTGAAGCCCGTGAGGCACCCAGCTGGTTGGATGGCCCTTCCCCCCCAGCTCAGGCTGACCTGCCCACTGACCTCCTGTTCCACATGTCTCCAACAGTCAGAGACTAAGAGATGGGAGGGGCAAGCACAACTCAGGAGTCAGAAAGGGACCCCCTTCACTCCCTGCACCCAAGGTGACCACCCACGTTCTTCAGTAGGAGTCCTGGAGCAGCTGTATCCTGCTGGGAGCCCTGGGACCCCTGTCAGGTACATGTTCTCTACCCATGTTGCATTGGGACACTGACTCAGAGAGGCATAGGAACCTGCTCACGGCCACACGGCTGGTGAGAGAGAGGCCAGGACTCCAGCCCAGGTTTCTACCTCCGAGGACTGGGTCTTCCCATGGTGCCAGGCCCTGGTGGACGTTGCCAGCTGACCCTCCTGGTCTCCTGCTCACAGGGTACATCAGAGTCCTGGGACCTCCAATTATGGGTCACCTCGAGTCAGGAGACAGGTCCCTGAAAAGCTAGTGGCACCCAGGGTCTGGGGGATTGCTCCCAGACCTCTCCCCGACTCCCAGCTGCACCCCACACCCACCCAAGCCCGTGCCCACTTTTCAGCATGAGGCCGGGATGGTTCTTTTATTCTATTCCTATGTTGTTTTTCCCCAACTTTCTCAGTAAAATCTCTTTGGAAAAGTCCCAGCCTTGTCTCAGAGGAGCCTCAGGCACAGGCCTGGCCAGGGTCAGGGGAAGGCAGAGTAGAGGGGGCAATTGAGAGGGAGTGGCACAGGGAGGACCCCATGGAGAGTACAATTCCACCTCCCCCAGTTGAGCTGCACAACCTTGGGAGGGGCACTTCTGCCTCGGAGCCTCAGTTTACTCCTCATAAAATGAGGTTGTTGTTGGAATCAAATGGGTTCACCTCAGTGGAGGACCTGGCTCCCCGGTCAGAAGGGGCAGGGACAAGGACCAGATGGTTTCCTGTCCTATGGGTTCCTGGGAAGCCAGGCTAACACAGGCCAAATGTAGATGCCAGAGGCAGCGAATTCTACGTACACTCCTGCCTGGTCCAGGGCAGAGGCCAGTCGAAGAACAGGAAGCCTGGGCTCCACCCTCTGCGCCTCACCTGCCGTGGGCCTTGGCAGGGGACTGCCTCTCTCAGAGCCTCAATCTCTCCGAGACGAATATTGCAGAGTTTAGGTGGCCCAGCTGGGAAGGGCACTGGACAGTGACGTCCGTTCTTTCCGCAATGACCCCAACTGACGCCGGGGCTTGGGGGGTGCGGGGTGAGCGCCACAGGATGATTCCAACCGGCGTTCCCTGGGTCGCCCAGCACCTGCGTTCCCAGGGCGGGGCCTCGGGAGATTCGGGGCGGGGCTATCGAGTGGGCGTGGCATGGATCTCTAGCACCGCTGGTACGGCTACCCGGCTACTGCGCACGCGCCATGGTTAGGGTCTGGCGCGTGGCAGTGGATGGACTGGGGCCCAGCTGGTTTTAAAGGGGCCGGGTCTTGTGGGATAGGGGCCCGCGCTCTGCGGGGCAAGCAGATCGGCAGGGTCGAGATGCTCTGCCCGCCCGCACTGGACTGCCTCCCTGGGTCTTACCCCCCACCCCCAGCTCTGATTGTGGGTCATTTCTACTCAAGAACTGCCCTGTTAGATGGTGAGATCCAGAGTGGCATTCTGGTCTCCCCTCATGCTTGGGTCTCAGGCCAACCAGCTCAGCTATTTGTCAGCACTGGGACCTTGGGAAAGTTGTGTTTAAATGAATGTAAGACTGCCTGGGAGGGTGGGGATGAGATCTCAGTAAATGACACCATCTCCCACCTCACACTGCACACTAGGAACCCAGAAATCACCTCTGCTTCCTCAGGTCCCTTCCCCCACATCCTATGTGTCAGCAAATCCTGGCAATGCTTCCTGTAAAATATCTGTCCTCTTCCCCCACGCCCCCCTTGTGGAACAACAGGAAGGACAGGAGGGGAAGGACAGGAAGGACCTTGAAGGACAGCCCAACCCCTCTCTTAAGCTATAGACAGGGAAGGGCCCACGGAGACATCCTGGGCCTGTGTACCGGGCCCATGGGGCCATGGAGTTAAAATTAAAACAAGCTGCCAGGCAAACTTCCACACCTCCGCCTCCCACCTCTCCTGAATTTGGGGGGTGGGCTATTTTTAGAGGGAAGGTGTGTTGGAGAAATGTCTTATTCATCTTGGAGGTTAGCAAGAACAGAGGGGCCTGTGTTTCCCGCCTCCCCCTCCAAACTTACCCGGCCTTGTTCCGCCCTGCCTGGGCCCAAGGACTTTGCTGAGCTAACATTTGTGCAGGGCTCCCCCCACCAGGCCAGACCCTGAGCTTCCTCAGGCCAGGTCAGGCTGGCCCAGGGCAGGGGGCTAGGTTGGAGGAAGGGAGGAAGGGAGGCACAGCTAGGGGGCAGGCCCTGGCGGTGATCAGGTATCTGCCCCCCATGCCAATCCCGACCAGCCAGCAGGGCTCCCCTTGGGCAGTGGGACAGAGCCAAGAGGCAATGTCCCTGGACCCCAGGGAGAGACAGAACCCTCATGTGGGGCAGGAAGAGGGGCCTGCCCACCCAGTCTCCCACATGGGCTCTGAGGCTAGCTTGGTGGCTTCCCAGCCTCAGGGATCCTGTTATAGCCAGGGCTAGGACTAGCCTTGGTCACCTCACTTCACACTTCAGTTTCTTCATCTGTAAAATGGGACTTTGCAAGGATTTAATGAGATCCAGCCCAGAAGAGGGCACCCCACCCCACATACCATTCCTGTACCCAGGGTGGAGGGGGATGAAAGGAAGGACTCCTGCCCTCAGGGTCCAGCCAGCACTGGAGGCCCCAAGGAGGGCCTGGAGAAAGCTGGTCCTGCCTTGTGCAGCTTGGCTGAGGTAGAAAAGAGCAGAGCAGAGGGTCTTAGGCAGGGGTGCCAGAAGAGCAAATGCCACAGCCACTGGAAAGCCCCACCAGCCACCCTCCGTGTAGACCACCCAAGTGGTCACTCACTTGGCACTCAGCCTGGTCAGCCTGGGCTTGGAGCCGAGGCCCTTGCCTGAAACACCACTGGCAGAACCAAAATTGTCCTCAGCCCCTCGAAACCCTACCAAATGTGCCCACTGACCACCAGGAAGAGATTTATTTCAGCTTCAAATCATGGAAGAAGGAGGGATGTGACCCAGACCCTGGGCCGTGGATGGGAGAGGGCAGTGGCTATGGTTCTGGCCAGTCTGGTGCAGCCAGAGGCAGTGGCTTGGCTCTGCCCACTGGGTGCTGGGCAGGCCCAGCCCTCTCTGTGAGTCAGTTGGGCCACCCTGGGGCTGAGGCCCTCTCAACTGTCAGAGAGCAGGGGCAGGGTGGGCAGAGCCCTGGGACAGCAGAATCTGGCTATGTCCTTGTCTTCTCACTGGGCCGGGGGGTCTTGGTCCTTGGAGCAGGCACACTCGCTGCCGGCGTCATCCGGAGCCTTCCCTGGCAGTCCCGGCAGACTCAGTGAGGGGGCTGCAGGAACATAAAGGCCTCCATGTGGTGGGGGCTGCGCTTACCACATGTTTGCAAGGGAATCTGTGAGCGTAGGGGCTGCAGCCGGGCAGGGCAGGCACCAGGGCAGGGCAGGCCACAAGTTGCCCATGGTGAAGGAGGGAGGGGTGCTGGATGTGAGGTCTAGGCAAGGGAGGGAGGACAAGGCCTGGCTCTGGGAAGAGGAGCACCCCTCGCCTGGCATACCCACCAGAGTAAAGGGGTGGCAGATTTGGGGGGTCCAGGGCAGACCTGGGGACCTCCCCAGTGCCCAAGTCCCAGTGGTTACACAAGGTGTGGCCCTGGACAGAATCTGACAGAGGTTGAGGGGACTTTGGGGAGAGGTGGGGGTTAGGGCAGGGACAGGCCCCTTCTGGGCCCGAACTGCAGGGGGCAGCTGACCAGTAAGGGCTGCTGCCAGGGCCGGGGGAGCCAGGAGAGACTGACATCTAAGGAGGGGAGCGGGCAGTCAGGTTGCCAAAGCAGCCCCAGCTGAGGCTGAATTCATTTCCTCACCTGGGGACAGACTCCTCAGGGAACTTCAGGGGAAAGAACTTCCCGGGCACAGCTCACCCATCATGTGCCCCCCACAGAGGCCCCCACTACCCCGCCTGCTGTTCCTCGTGCCTCAGACCTGGCCCTGGCTGACCCCTCTCCTCACCACGCCTCCTCCTCCCAGAAGCTTCCCCAGCTCTGGCAGCCTCTTGGCCTTTAACCAGGGCACCTGCAGCAGGGACAGGAGCCTGCCACGGGGCTGGCCCATCTCCCCACCTCAAAGGTGCCAGGGCTGGGCCTGCTCAGCACTCACACCCTCACCCCTTCCAGGCCCTAGTGGGCAATGCACACTTGTCCCAAAGGTGATGAATCATGAGAGAGGGAGGAGGAGGCAGGACTCATGCTGGGGGTGAGAACGGCTGTCATTCATCCAACAAACGCAGACCCGTGTGCCAGGCCTGGGGTCACAACAGTGGATGAAGTGACCTTGTGTGCAGGTGGGAGGGGCGATGGTGACAGGGAGAGGGTCAAGGGCGGGCAGATGGGTGGGGTGTGAGCAGGCTGGGGTGTGGAGGGCCCTGCTTGCAGAAGCAGGCAAGAAGGAGACCCTGCTTCTGACTCCTCTCTCTCGGCACCCCTACAGGCAGCCCCTCACTCACCAGCAACAGCCTGGCTGTGGGTGGACCCCTTCTGGGCACCCTCTGGGGGCCAACGCAGCTCCCCACTCTCCACAGCACCTACTTCGCTGGGCTCTACCACAATCGAGGGCAGCCGCTGGCCCAGCCGAGGGCCCTTCTCCCGGGCACCCACTGCAGCCTGCAGGAAGGGTGGCAGGGGTCAGGACAATACCAGACCCTGGGCCCCCACTCCCTCCCATACCTGTCCTGCATTCTGCCCACTGGGAGGGTCAGGGGCTCCCTGCTCAGTCTCCAGGGCAGGAGCAAGCATGTGTGTGCGTGTGCATGCCTGCTTATCCCCCAGAGGGTTCCAGCCCCTCCTGCATCTCACCACTGGGGCTGGAGTACTCAGTACCTGGGGTCGCAGCTCTCTGGGGGCACCATAGGACCCACTTGGGCTCAGCTCTTAGGCCCATTTCACAGACAGAAGCCTGAGGCTGGGGAGGCCAAGGTCACACAGTGAGTGAGCCCAGGGCTTCAGTGCATCCCCGGCTGCCTCCAGTATCCTGCTCAGCCCCTTCCTAGGGTCTTCCTTTCTGGGTCCTTAGCTTGCTCCTCAGCTCAGAGGAGCTGGGAAGCTGTTGCCATGGCAACCTGAGCATCTTGCTCTGGGCTCATTGTTCAGTGCCCACAAGAGCATGCGGGGGCGCCTCCCTAAGCCCTCCTGGTGCCCTCAGCATCCCCTCCTTCCATTCGAGGCCTTCCGAGGTGGAAGCCAGAGCCGCGGGTGCACAGACCACCAGCCCCAGCACCACAGCAGCCCTGACTTGCCTGCAGCATCCCAGCTCTATGTCTTTTCTCAGGCAGTCCCCTCCCTGGAGCTCCCCAACTCCCATCTCTTTTACCTAGAAGGATCCTTGTGTGGTGCATATCTGCCTTTCCCCAATGGCATGAGTGCCTCAAGGAAAGGCAGGCACACAGCCAGCAGGACTTTGCTAAATGGCCCTCAAACCACTGCAGCAGAACCATCTGAACATGTTTAAATGCACATTCCTGGGCTCCAGCCCAGACTCATTTTAACCAACTACGCCAGGTGACCCTGAAGTGTGAGAAGAGGTGTCATTTGGCTGGGCCATCTATGGAATCAGAGGAACAGCAGAGCGAGGAACACAGGTCCCCAACGCCTGGACCCGCCTGCTGGCACTGCCAGTCCAGGGGCTCCTTCCCCTCCTGGAATCCTTCCCCACCCACCATCCTCCTTCCTGCCTTCCTCCAGGAAGCCCTGCTGACCCCCAACCAGGGGCGCTCCTCTGCCCAGAGTGTGCCACTGGGTGAGGGAGGTCCAGGCCGGCAGAGCTTGGAGTACCAAGGCCTGGTGTCCACGCCCTCCATCTGCCCTGCCAAGGAGGCTGTGTCTGCAACCCCAAGCTCCAGAACCCCCTGTGTAACTCTAGGCTGGTCTCCGTCTCTGGCCCCAGTACTGCCCCCATGCCGACAATGAGAATGGCCCAACTCTAGAACTCAGAACATCAAGACTGCACCCCTTGTGTAGGGACCCCACTTTTTAGCTGCATTAACACCCCCTCCCCAGAAAGCTAGAGCTGAGAGCAGGGGACTCTGGCATTACCTCACCCAGCAGAGAGCAAACTGCCTTGGGGAGGAAGCCCTGGGGTCCCCAGGGTCCGGAAGGGGTGCTAAGTACACCACGGCAGCTCACCCTCAATTGCTTTATGCATCTGACTTCTACAGAGGAGCAACACCTCCCCCACCCAGATGGTTAAATTGAGACTAGCTCCCTCCTGTCCCACAGGGCTGAGGGCGGGCAGACCCCAGGGCCCCAACTACATACCTTCCCTGCTGGGCCTCTAGCCTCCTCAGCTGGGCTTAGCTCTGGCATGGCAGGCTGGGGAGCACTCATGCTGCTGCCGCTATCCAGCTGCAAGGAGATGGAAAGCAGAAACAAGGTGTCTGCTATGGGCCAGGTGCTGGATCCTACCCTCGTCCCGGAAGCTTCAGGCTGCTCCAGCCCACACCCACACTACCCCACCCCGGGCCCAGCACCCATGGCTCCAGCTGGACCTCCATCACTGCTGCTCCCCGCCTGAGCCCACCATCAGAGAGGGCACTGGACAGGCACCACACAATGTGCCCAGAGCTGAAGAGGGGCGGGGGCAGGAGGGGAAGAGGCCGACCCAGCCTTAGGACCCAGGAAGCTTTCCTGGAAGAAGGTCGGCTGATCTGAGGCCTAAGAGCTGAGCAGGAGGAAGCCAGGGCAGCAGGGAGGAGAGATAGTGTTCTGAGGCAGGGAACATCGAGGAGGGGGCACAGAGAGGCAGGGGCCCAGATGGGTTTCTGAGACAGGAGGCTGGAAGCAGCACTGGCTGGGGGTGAGTTGGCCAGAGGCAAAGGTGCCCAGTGTCCCCTCCCATCCCCTGCCGACAGCAAACACCCCACATACACCCAGGGCCAGGCCCTCGACACTCACAGCCCAAGGGGAACTGACATCCTGCCTGAACTTGGCCATGCCCACTCAGGCCAGGCACAACGGCAAGGGAGCCAGGCCAAAGACTGCACAGCAATGGCTCTGGGAAGAGAGGCCCTGCTGGGACTCATGGACACCAGCCTCAGACCCTCCCCCTGCACTGAGCCAGTGGCAGAAAAGGGGGTGGGATCTGGCAGGCAGACACCTAACTTTGGCACTGGCTGGGAGGCAGCAGGGGCCATAGGCAAGGGGCAGGGGAGTGCTGGGAGGGGACTGGGCAGAAAGAGCAGTGACCAGCAGGATGGAATGCCTGTAATGTCCTGTTGGTTGTGAGGCAGAGGTCCTGCGGGCACCCAGCTAAAGGGGAGGGCTGCTATTCTGGGAAATGAGGTTTCTTTCACCAAACACCCAGCACAGGTCAGCTTAGGTCCCACCGACAACCAGGGAGGCTGGGAGGGGGCTACACGCTGCACCAGGCATCCCAGGGCAGTGGGCACCTGAGCCCTACCCACCTGCGCCTCCACCCAATCCCAAAACTGTGAAAGGTCCCTGGTGCCCTGCTGCTCCCAGGTCTGTCCCTCCATGGGATCCCCGCCTGGGATCCCATCCCAGGACCCCGGCTAGAGCCCAGAGCAGCCAGGACAGAGTCCAGGAGAGTGGACTCAGAGATCCAGACAGATTCAAGAAAGAGCCACAAGGAGAGTCAGAAAAGACCTCTGGCCACAGAGACAAAGCAGAGATGATAGAGCTGGAGAAAGGGAGATACAGAGAGAAGATAGAAACAGACCCAGAGTGACGATACAGACAGAGGAGAGAGGAGTGGTAATAGAGACAGATGATGGAGCTGTCACCTTGAGCCCAGCCAGAGTCGGGGTGGGGAGGCATTCGAGGTGGGGGAACATGACAGGACAGGACAGGCAGGCAGAGAGCAAGTGCTTACCGGCTGCCGCCCCACTGCCCCGCACCAGTGTCCAGTGCCAGAGGGTGCATTCGCACATGGAGGGCTCCCACCACCCACACCTCCGCGGGCTCCCAGGTGTGTAGGGCCACGTATGACTGTGCGCAGCCCCCAAGGGCACTGCTCTTGCCCAAAGCCTGGCGTCCAGCAGCCAAGGGGTGACCGTGGTCCCCAAGTCCTCCGCTTCCCCAGGGAACTCCAATTCAAAACCCCTAATCCTGTTCCTCCTCTCCCACCCACGCCGCGCCTGACCGCCAGGGCGCAGCGGAGACGCAGGCCGGGCAAAGCTGGGGAGGGGGCGCCCCTTACGCCTCACTCACACTCACCCGCCGGCGCTGGATGCTGGCGCCGGTCCAAGCCACCTGGCCGACCCGGGAGCTGCTAGCCCTGTTCACCCTCCTCGGCGTTCTCCGCCCACAAGCGCTCGCTGGCCCGGCCCCTCATTCACACTCACGGCCTTCTGCGAGCGGCGCGCGGCCGCGCTTCCGCCCTCCCAGCTCCAGCTCCCAGTAGCACCCCGGCCTCATTCTCCCTTTGACAAGACCGCATCCCCCAGAACCTGATCCTGGTCACTTAAGGCCCTGAGCCTCAAATCTGAGGTTCAGGAATTCAGAGGGAGAATTCAATGGGATCAGATACATAGAAAAAGGACACCTTCCAATTGGAAGGAGTGAAGAGAACAAGGAAAACACCAAGTGGGAGGGCCCATATCGGGGGAGAGGTGTCTCCACACTGCTCCCCTCTCATCTTCATCCCCAGTCTCATTCCCAAAAAGGAACAAAAGAGCCCTGGGACAATCAGTCTCATCGAGTCTGGTGTACATGCCTAACCCCTGAGGCCAAGGTGCATAACCTCTGCTCTGCCCCACCAGCATCTAACATCCCTTCCACCATCCAGCATCTAACATCCACTAACAGTTATCTAACATTCAGCTTCCACCCAATATCCACAATCCACTGTTCAGCAACCACTTATCCAACCACCATCATCTGTCATGCATTATCTATTCATGTATCACCTACAATTCAGTAATCATCCAACCATCATCCAACATCGACCATCGACTATCCATCATCTACCATCAATAATCCAACATCTGTCCTATCCACAATCCACCATCGAACTTCCTCCAACCAATTACCATCCACCATTTAACCACTATCCAATATCCAACATCCATCCACTATCCACCAAGCACTAGCCAATATCCACCATCCAACAGCCATTAACCATCCAACCCCAATCACCATCCACCATCCCCTATCTATCCACCATGCATGTATCCACTCACCACCCACCCCTACCATTGACCAAGCATCAATACACCATGAAAATACCCATCAGTCCAACAGTAATTCACCATCCACCCATCTACCACCTGTCTATCCATCATTCACTGTCTAACATGTTTCCATTAATATTTAACAACTATCTATCCATCTACCATTCATTTATCCATCCACCACATACCTGATTGCCAATCATCGATCTACCATCTATCTACTGTCCACTTATCTGGATTTATCCACCACCAATCCATTAGCCTCCACCCATCTAATCAGCCACAATTCATCTAACTACCGTTCGGTCACCAGTCATTCACCATCCCTCATTCGTTCATATTTCTATGCACTACAATCCACCAGCCACCTACCATCCACCAATCATCTACCACCCATCCATCTCTTATCCCTATCCACTACATATGTATCCATTCATTGTCCATCTCACAATATCCTCTATCCATCCATCCAGTATCCAGCCATAATTCACTATTCGTCCAAAACGCATTCAAGTATCATCTATCATCCATCCATATTCATCCACTTTAGAAAAATGCATCGAGTGCCTTCTATGTGCTAAGCACTATTCTAGGTGCTAGGAATAGAGTAGAAAGATAGCAGTGAGCATTCATCCACCATAATCCATCCACCAATTTATCTGTGCATCAGCCCTTATCCATTATTCACTATCCATCCAATATCCATCTTTATTCATCATCTATTTACCATCTACTTGCCACCTATTCATCTTCTTTCATCTATACATTAAACTACCCATTTTCCAGGCATCACTCACCACCTACCATCCATCCACCATCTCTCCATCATCTGCCCATCCACCATTCACCTTTCATGTATCCATTTTCCAAGATGTAGCCATCTATCCTTTAACCATCATCCATTCATTACCTAAGCATCATTTATCCATCCAGAATCCATCCATTCGTTATCTATCTACTATCCACCTTCCATCTATACTTCCACAGAACACAGAACATTATCCATAGACCTAGCAACCATCCATTTATTTGCCATCTATTTCTCCATTCATGTGCCATCCAGCCACTATTGTCCACCATTCATGATCCATCCATCAATCATATATCTATTCACATTTATCTACCATCTATGCTTCCATTCTCTATGGATAGATCTATCACAACCATCTACTTACTATTTATCCACCATCCATCCATACTTCCATGATTTATCCACCCACCAAGCATCCACCATCCACCACCTACTACCTGCAATTCATCTGCTATCTATAGATTCTTTCACTGTCCATCAATCCGTCAGTTTATTATTCATGTCCATCCACCATCCTCTATCAATATGCCGTCTATTTTATTATCACTTAACCGACTACCATTACATAGATTCATCCACCATCTTCCATCCATCCACCATCTAGCACTACCATCTACCATACTTCCAGTACTCATTCAACCATTATCTATACACCCATTCACACCCCCACACACACATATACATTCTGCCATTGCATCCATCATTCACACATTAGTTCACCTCCTTATCCAATAATTCATTTCCTACCAACCATCTATCTACCTGGTAATTCACCATCAATCACTCTGCCATGCATTCATCTATTATCCTTATATTATATCCTTATGCTATCCATAGACATAAACATCAGTTAACCATTCCAACTTCTCTCTCTATCACTCATTTTTATCATTTATCCATCCACCCATCCTCTCATCATTCTTTTGCCCACTCATTCATAAACTAAACATTTATTTATTAATAAATATTAATATTAAACATTATTACGCAGTGCTGGTGCTGGGTTCTAGGATCATCAAAATTCATGATCTGATGAATTTACATCCTGATGGTTCACAAAGGGGAAACAGGTCAGATAGAGAGATATTATGTCTAAATCTCAGTGCCTCCATCTGTGCCCATGGGATGGCTAGAGCTCTTTGCACAGTTTCCTGGGAGGAGGACCAGGGAGGGGGCATCACAGCAGGATCAGCGGAGGGACGATCTAGGCATCATAGCATGGGAGACCTGATGATCTGGGTGTAAAGAGAGGTGAGACTGGAAACAGAGGTTGGCAGAGATTATGCAAGGCTGGGAATACCCAGCTAAGGGATGGGTGCCTGGGAGCTCTGGGAGGCAGGCAAGCACCCCAGTCAGCCTCGTTCCGAGAAGGGAGCCCCCTACTCATACAAATACACTTCTCCAGTGGAGAGTACCTGAACCAGAAGGACAGGGGCTCGCCTTAGCCTCACACAGCAATGATGGAGTGGTCACTGTAGCTGCAACTGTACCGTCTCGACGCTCAGACACCTTGTGTCAGGAAAGCCTATGCTGGCAGGCCCCCTTCCCTCACCCCACCTCCCAAAAGGCCACTCCACCTCCTTTCCACTTGGACAGGAATTGCTCTCCCTCCTCGTTAACGAGGGTGCTAGCTGTCACCTAAGGTGTTGGTTGTTATCCAAGCTGTTAGCTGACAATGGTCTCGTGGTTGCCGGGGATTGCTCCTGACAGGGCTTTCAGGAAGTGTTGAAGGCCCTAGAGGCATAAAGCTCTGATGGTGGGGCAGCAGGCTGGGGACAGGGAGTATCCTTGAACACAGGCCTGGAGGCTCACATCTGAGCCTGCAGAGTCAGCCCTGGGGCCCATCTTGGCCTTCAGTCTGCTATTCTGCTTTTCCCCTTCCCTCTTGCCCTGCATTGTAGACCCTTCTCCACAGGAGACAGGCAGATCTGGAGGCAGGAGCTATGAGTCCTGGTCACTCCCAGCCGTTGCCGTGTGTCCTTGGGAGGCCCTGACCTTCTCTGGGCCTCTATTCCTGCCAATGCAGTAGGAGGATGAGGTGGACTAAATGAAGAGTAAGGACCAACCATCTCTGAGGTTCCCTGGCCGCGGTGGAGCTGGAGTTATCCCCTTCTCAGCTCCCTCATCCGCACAAGCACCCTCCAAAGCTTGAACAGAGGCGAGGGCAGCGTGCCTGGGCTGGGTACTCACGGCGGGCGGAATCCTGGCTCTGGGCCAGGAAGGCTTGCTCTCTGCGCCCTCTTGTGGCCGTCATGGGGTAAAACACCCAAGACTCCCGGTGGCATGGCAGAGCAAAGTGACAATAGAAAATAGGGTTAATTTGAAACATTTCATATTTTGAAGCGCGATATGAGCACCGTCGTTTTAAACTTTGTCCTCACGTGCTAATTCTCTGTGAGACAGGACTGAGCCCTTCTGTCCTTGGTGGGCTGGGCGTTGGGTCCTAAGTAAATGACCCCAGGGGAAGAGTGGACGCCCCCAGCATATGGATTGACCACGAGGGAAGAGGGAGGTCCCGCTGGAGAAAACCTCCCCCTCCCCTACTGACTGTCTCACTCCGCTAGAATGAAAGGCCTGAGACAGGGATTTTCAACTGTCTTGCTCCAATCCTAAATCTCCAACCCCTAAAGATTGGTTGACTGCACAAAGTTTCTGGACGTTTCTCTCTAATGTAAATAATCGGACTTCAAAGTTTTTAAAAGCGCCATAATAAGAAAATTACACCGACAGAGGCAGCCCCAGGGAGCAGGGGCGAGCAGGTGTGCCGGACCCAGTGTGGGGCACAGAGCAGGGCGCCCTTCCCAGGGTCTATGGGACCCCAAGAGCCGACGGCGTTGCCATCGGCCACCACCATGGCATCTCCTGAGACCCCCGATGTGCCCCAGGATGAGTGTGGGGACAGATGCTGGGGCTGGGGGGTATCTGTCCTCCCAGTGAGGCTGGAGTGGGGAGAGGAGGACCCAGGCCTGTCCCCAGACGTGAGCCGCCCTCCCTTGACCTGCACTGCCGCGGGACTGAGCCTAACTCGGGGGAACGGGTTGAATGGGGGCCCGAGGCCCGGCGGCCGCGGGAGGATGGGACCGCGGCGAGGCTCCGTCGGCCCCGGTTCGGCGTTCAAGGTGGGCCCGGAGCTTGGCTGAGCTCCACCTCCCGCGCCGGGCGACAGACGCCCGCTCCCCTGGGACCAGCGACGGCGGGCGAGGGGGGCAGCCCTGCGCAGGCCGAGAGCCCTGGGGTGCCCGCCCCTGAGCCCCACTCCCCGCGCCCCCGAACCGCACGCTGGAAAGGCAGGTTGCGGCGGCGGGCCTGCGCCTCGTACCCCCTCCGGCGGGGCGCGGGTGGTGAAGCCCGCGCCCAGTGCGCCCGCCGCGCGCTCTCCCTGCGCCGGGACCTCGGAGCCTGTCTCTCCGTCCCGGTTTCTCTGAGGCTGGCCCTCTTCTTTCTCTCCCGGGGACAGGTGGGGATTCTGGGTGGCA